GTTAGTTAGGATCGAATTTGATTTGCTCATGTGCCGTAAAATTTGAGGTGAGCGATTTATGTTATTTTTATATTGTTACTTAGCTACTCTATATTTTTTTTTATAGGATAGGGTGACAATTGAGCACACAGTCCACCTGATGGTAAGTGGTTGCTGTGGCCCATAGACATCTACATCTATCCTCGATTACGAATCAAAATGCAGATGTGTTGTCACCCGTGAGGACTAAGATGGAATGCCTCGTTTCCAGTAAAATGGGTCGCCGGTTCTCTACACTCACCATACGAAATACAGCAGCATTAAGCTACTATTTCACGCTGGTATTCTGTGAGAGCGTGGTCCTTCCCCCGGTCGAGCCGACCCATTCGTGCTACAACTATACATCTAATATAACTGCAGCATGGCTCTACCACGTATAAAACTAAATGCGGTAACTATATGCGGTAGGTTCACTTTTCCGTCTAAGTGTTAATATTAAACTTTTTTCTGTTTATGCTGTTAAGTAGCACTGCTTCTGGTTATGAAATATGCAGTAAAATTACAGACAGTAAGGCATACGATCTTTTTTCTCAGGATCGACATTTTTAAGTAACCTTATTCGTTGGCAATTGGTATTAATTATTGCATCAGTGTTGGAGGCGTTAGACTACTGCATATCATTGGGTGCGTTTGGCAGAAAAAAGCGCTAGCAAGCGCTTACAAGCGCTAAAATAGTTTTCGGCCAGGACACGATTGCTACTTCAGTAGCGCTGACACAATCCGCCATTTTGCTTATTTAATTTGTTTGTTTTGAAGTAGAGTTTATAAGTTCTTTTGTGCAATATTAGTTTTAAGTAATATAATGACATGAATAAACATATACATGTTATTAAAAATTCATGATTGGTAAGTTTTTAATATGAATACTTTACAAACATATATTTAAATTAGGTTAGGTTCCCCGGTTAAAACTAACATCGTGTCCTAGAGGAAAATAGCTACTTACGCTTTGACAGCACTTACCGCTTACGATCGCCATTTTGTTTACAAGCGCTTGCTAGCGCTTTTTTCTGCCAAACGCACCCATTGTAGGTGATGTTAGAAGTGACAGAGGGAAAGTGAAAACGGAGATGGTTATTAGAATTCTCCTGCCAAGGTTTCCATGCCAAAATTGGTGACCGTGACAGGACAATATAGCAAGAAATAAGACGATTTTTCAAGACGATTAGGACGCCGGTCAAATATCACGCCACAGACATCTATCGTCTCAAAAACTTCACCACCAAGGGATATTTTAAAGAATAAGCCATTGCAGTTATCGCTGGATATTGATCAGCCTTCAACATCGCTCCGCGTCCAGATCAATGCAGCTAAGTAGGCACTAGAATTTCGGATTTTATAGACTGGAATTTATAGGAAGACTGCTATAAATTCCTGTCTATACAATCATAAATTTCCATTTTATTCTTATTTCTACTTGTGTTTTATTCGTTTGCAATACAATACGTTATAATTTTAATACTTTAACAGAATATATAATCGTCATATTTTATAATCCTTTAAAAATTTTCAATATTTTTTTTTGCAAACTGAGTCCTTTCATATCATTACATTTCTTTGTACGAAAAATTTTATTATTTTATTCCGTACCTATTATCTCTCCTTCATACATGTTATTTCTAAAATAAAATTTTCACCACGATTTGCCGAATATTTCAGGGTACGAGCTGTGATCGTGCAATAGCGTTGCGGGGCATCAATTGCTACTCCTGCCTACCAGGTAACGTCAACAGATAAGATTTATATTTTTATTTTTAGAATAAAACCACTTAAATGGATTTCATCGCGTATAATGCACTTATTTTTAATTCCCGACGCAACCGAAACGTCGGCAATTTTTGTTTTTATTGTCCTTCATCCTAACACAATATATAAAAGTTTTATACAAATTCAATTACACTGATATTAGGTTTTTAAATTTTTTTTTATCTTCACGCACAATCCCTAACGGGGTAGCCAGAGAGAACAGATCGCCAAGTGTCACGATCCTTACATACCTCTTTCGCTTCTTTCAGGTTCATTAACTTCTTCATACATGCACGTCTAGGTATCCGAGTACTCTTGACCTTCCCCTCTTCAAAGTTAATCTCGGTCTACCTCGACACCTTTTAATATTTACTTTCGCTCTATATATTTTCTTCACCATTCGGTCGTCACTCATTCGCTCAACGTGCCCAAACCATTGGAGTACGCCCCTATCAATTTTTGTGATAAGGTCATCTTTCAATCCTGCCATATTGCGAATCTCTTCGTTTTTAAAATTAATTTAAAATTTACATTTACATACTTTTTAAGTATTTAATTTGCAATTTAACTTTAAAGATGAACGAAAATAAAGAATTGGCTACTGAAATAAGTACTAAATACACGAAAAACTTGCAAGATTGCTAGTAAAAAGTAGTTAGTAGTAGCAAAATTACGAAATTTAAAAATTATTGGGCTAATTTATCACCAAGAGAAAATTTAACCGCAATCGAATTAATGGAATTAATATGAAAACTTAACAAATTTGGAACGTTATTAAGTAAATTTGATGACTTGCAAACTCAGATCGAGGTGTTAAACTCGATTAATTTAGAGAGCGGAATTGATGAACGGGACAATATTGAACAATTGTTTTTTTTTGAACATTGATATTGCTCAAAATATTATAAAATGTTGTCAATCTAAAATTTCTGTTAATTAGTGCAATAACGAACCTAATTTTGGTAGCTGTTCTTCAGCTCGTTGTAATGAACACAGCGAGGTTAATTTTAAATTGCCGCAAATTTAAATCGTGAAATTTGACGGAGCGTACTTTCACTGGCTTTTCCGTTACACACTTTTATCGCTTTTTCATAGTAACGAGCGTATCCCACTTATACACAAATCATTCATTCGTTTTACAAAGAACAACGCTCTCATCTTTTTTATATCTAAATTGTGAGCCTGCAATTAAAATTTCGGCAAGCAAGCTAGGCAACTATGGAAAAATGGCAACTATGACAAAATCCTCCATATGAAGCAATCTAGGAAGCTTTTGTTCAGTCGTAGAATTTTGAGAGTGCGTAATGAATAAATAAATGATCACAAGTGCATAGACAAGTGTACTTGTACATGCAATAAACATAATAATTTTTATAGATTGTGTTTTTATACTGAAAATAAATTCCATACTGCAAATCATTAATTTCCTTCTTGCGTTGGTAATTTTTGTTTTGTTGGCTGTGTAAAGAGTAAAAGATGCAGCTTTTTACTAATAGGGCACAATAAAACTAGCGACAAGCTTCTCTTGTCCCTATTATTATTATTATTGGAGTATCTATATAATTTTCTCACCTGGTTGGGTTCTATAAATATATAATTATAAATTAAAATGAAAAGATAAATGTACATAAATATCAATAAAATAAAATAAATACAAAAACTACATAAATAAATAAGATCCAACCAGATGGGAGCCCTCGGCAGGGGAGACCAAACGGCCGAGGGTTAGGAGGAAAGGGAAAGAAACCGGCGGACAATGCGGGCGGTGTCGAGAAGCACCGCCTTTTGCATTTGAGCCCGGAGCGGTCCGTCACGGAGTCCCAGTCGCCTCAGATGACCCGAGAGGCTGACTGGGATTAGCCCATTCGCAGAGACGACTACAGGAATAATTTCGGCCGGCAGACCACCCCACATATCGGTCACCTCGTGAGCCAGGTCCAGATATTTTGTTCGTTTATCTGTTTCGGCTTTCACGAGGTTCTCGTCATACGGAATGGTAATGTCGACCAAAAATATCCTTGACTGTGCCCGGTCCATCAGCACAATATCAGGCTTATTCGCAAGAATAGTCCTGTCTGTGATGATGGCCCGGTCCCAGTAGAGCCTAGCGCGGTCATTTTCGAGCACGGTAAGTACTTGTAATACGGCAATTTCCGATCCACGAGACCGTATTTCAGAGCGAGCTCCTGGTGTAGAATTCTGGCTACTAGGTTGTGCCTGTGCAAGTACTCAGAGTTAGAAAGCGCCGAACAACCGGAGATGACATGCCTAAGTGATTCACCAGGATGGCGACTAGCTCGACAGATGTCCACGGTGCCATCCTTTAGGATGTATCTCCGATAGTTGTTGGTCTTAATAACCTGATCCTGTATTGCACAGACAAAACTCTCGGTTTCCCCGAAAAGATCACCAAAGCGTAGCCAGTGGAGGGAGGCTACTGTGTCTACGAAAGGCTCATGTAGAGCCTTGTAAAACCTCCCGTGGAGCTCCTTCTCCTTCCATACGGTCTCCCGGTCGGAAATGCTCTGCACTGCCGGGTCTTGCCATTGCTCGTTGGCTAAGGATAGAGGGGTAAGTCCTTTATCACAAGAAATGACGTCCTTATAGAATGGATCATCCGATCTCGCCAGGAAGTAATCACGGAGGCTGCACACTTCGCGATTATGCATGGTGAGCGCGCTCAGGAAGCCACGCCCACCTTGCTTTCGCGGCAAGTACAGCCTCATCACCGACGATTTCGGATGATGCATCCTATGGGACGTCATTGTAGTGCAGACTTTTCTATCCAGGGCGTTAAGTTCAGTCTGACTCCACCTGAGTATGCCAAAGGTATACATGAGGACAGGCATGACCCAACCGTTATATGCATGTGTCTTATTCACACCGGACAAAAGGCTGTTAAGCACTTTGGTCAAGCGTGCATAAAACACGTCGCAAACTGACTGTTTCATACCAGCCTCATCGATACCGATGTTCTGTGAAATACCCAGGTATCGGTATGTTTCAGCCTCGGAAAGGGCTCTTAAGTTGACGGACATAGATGAGTCTATGCCCTCAGAGTTAGCAACCCTTCCCCTTTCAACACGGAGGACCGCACACTTATCCGTCCCCAGCTCCATTCCAATAGAATTGCTAAATTCACAAGTGATTTTTAGCAATTCCATAAGATGGGAGCGACTGGAGGCGAATAATTTCATCCATATAGAAAAGGTGGGTCACTTTTGTACCTCCTTGCTTGGGAGCGACTTCTGGTTGAGAGCCTCTTGAAACTGTCGGGCGAGCACAGAGTGACACACCATGAACCCCTTCAGCCAGTAGTGATGCAGCCCGTCAAGCCCCGGACTTTTCCAGTTCGGGGCCCTACGGACCGCCTCAGCTACGTCATCCGGCGTTATGATGACGGGGTCCATGGGCGTAATACTCGCACACTGACTCGCCACAACTTCCGTCCAAGGGCCCTCGCTGTGGTTTACGGGCTCTGACCACAGGCTGCGCCAGATTGCGACCGTGTCGGCCTGATTTGGTGCTGGGCCCGTTCCACTTACTATTGGTCGCTCCAATGATTTATAGAGCCTCTTCTGATCACTCTGGAAGAGACGATTCTGGTTGAACCGTGTCGACCTCTCGGTATATCGCCGAATCCGCTTTCCCCAAGCAGCTATTCTTTGCTTCAGGTCGTCTATGCGCTCCGTCAGTTTTTGCATTATATCCGGCTGGGACAAACTAACATTTGTCCCAGCAAACGCCATCCTGACGGTGCGCACAATCCTTGGCCTGGTATTGCCTGACCTGAAGCATATCAGTCTGCCGATGAGGGCCCTAGCCTTTGCGATACGTTCTTCAATTCTTATTCTCCAGGCTGGGATAGCACTACTTTGTCCAGTAGCGCGTCCAGCCCTGGAAAGTTTGGCACCTATAATACGGCAGACTGCCAGTGCGGCGCCAAAAAGAATTGAGTCTGTCTCGCAAAGGTCCCGGCTGGCTTCCAAATAGGTAACCAGCATTGGGTTCAGAGCCCTCACGACAGCCCGATTCCGCTTGCTTAGGGCTAAGCGGGGAAGTCGCGGTCGATTTTCGAGAGTCGTACTGCGCGTTTCTACAATCGCCTCTTCCAATGTACTCCTCATTTGCTCTAGTTCCAGTTCCTGGGCGACTGTTCCATCATCGTTTGAATCAACCACAACTGGCGTATTCACGGCGGCATCCACATTTGCCGTTTGCTCGGCAAGTTGTGGCGCCGCATCCTCAGCCGCAGCATTTCACCCGATGAAGGAACAGCCTCACGTCGTAGCCGTTCGAGTTCGGTGACATCAAATGTATTTGAGCGCAAGATATACCGAACTCGGTCTGCCAGGTTTTGCTCGGTGACGGTTACAGATGGCTCCAGCTCAGCAAAAAGTCGATGCATCCTTGCCCGATATGCAAAACCTCCAGTTTCTCCCCCTTTCGCCCTAAAATACGCCCGCAATGCGTTGCTGTTCATCTGGGTTGTCCAACGCATGCGGCGTACTCCACCAGTGGCGGGTGCCGATTGCTGAGCCCGCGAAGACCCTGCCGACACCAAGCCAGCTGGTGGGGATGATGGATGCGAGGAGCTGCTGGGTGGTCGTGCAGCACCTCGCGCTCGGCTGGCGGTTCGCATGCTGTCGCGTCCAGCGCCAGCTCCAGACGCGCCCTGGCGACCTCCAGGCAGCGGCCCTTTGCGCGTTCCATTTGATTCCATCATCCATTTTAGGGCGTCATTTAGCGGGAGACGCCCAGACCCGGCGCCGTTTCATGGTTAGGCCATGTGCACAAGCGGGCCTTGGCACCTTCAATTTTTGCCGAGGCACGGCACTAACACCTCTTGGCAAGGTGCTGACTGACTGCGCCGACGTAGCGGTTTTGTCACATAACCGTTATATCAGCGGGCGATGGGGTCGTCACTTCCCTACGCCTTTTGTCACATAACCGTTATGTCAGCGGGCGATGGGGTCGTCACTTCCCTACGCCTTTTTATTTATTATTATTATTATTATTTATTATTATTGTGGGGTATCTATATAGTTTTCTCATCTGGTTGGATTCTATAAATATATAATTATAAATGAAAATGAAAAGATAAATATACATAAATATCAATAACATAAAATAAATATAAAAATACATAAATAAATAAAAGCCCAACCGGATGGAGGCCCTCGGCAGGGGAGACCAAACGGCCGAGGGTTAGGGGGAAAGAGAAAAAAACCGGCGGGCGATGCGGGCGGTATCGAGGAGCACCGCCTTCTGCATTTGAGCTCGGAGCGGTCCGCCACGTAGTCCCAGTCGCCTCAGATGACCCGAGAGGCTGACTGGGATTAGCCCGTTTGTAGAGACGACTACAGGAATAATTTCGGTCGGCAGACCACCCCACATGTCGGTCACCTCGTGAGCCAGGTCCAGATATTTTGTTTGCTTGTCTGTTTCGGCTTTCACGAGGTTCTCGTCATACGGAATGGTAATGTCGACCAAAAATATCCTTGACTGTGCCCGGTCCATCAGCACAATATCAGGCATATTCGCAAGAATAGTCCTGTCTGTGATGATAGCCCAGTCCCAATAGAGCCTGGCGCGATCATTATCGAGCATGGCTTCCGGCAAGTACTTGTAATACGGCAATTTCCAATCCACGAGACCGTATTTCAGAGCGAGCTCCTGGTGAAGAATTCTGGCTACTAGGTTGTGCCTGTGCAAGTACTCGTACACACTTCGCGATTATGCATGGTGAGCGCGCTCAGGAAGCCACGCTCACCATGCTTTCGCGGCAAGTACAGCCTCATTACCGACGATCTCGGATCATGCATCCTATGGGACGTCATGGTAGTGCGGACTTTTCTATCCAGGGCGTTAAGTTCAGTCTGGGTCCACCTGAATATGCCAAAGGTATACATGAGGACAGGCACGACCCAACCGTTATATGCGTGTGTCTTATTCACACCGGACAAAATGCTGTTAAGCACTTTGGTCAAGCGTGCATAAAACACGTCGCAAACTGACTGTTTCATACCAGCCTCATCGATACCGATGTTCTGTGACATACCCAGGTATCGGTATGTTTCAGCCTCGGAAAGGGTCCTTAAGTTGACGGGCATAGATAAGTCTATGCCCTCAGAGTTAGCAACCCTTCCCCCTTCAACATGGAGGACCGCACACTTATCCGTTCCCAGCTCCATTCCAATAGAACGGCTAAATTCACAAGTGATGTTTAGCAATTCCATAAGATGGGAGTGACTGGAGGCGAATAACTTGAGGTCATCCATATAGAAAAGGTGGGTCACTTTTGTACCTCCTTTCCGAAGCTGAAAGCCCCTCCTGGAGCCCTCCAGTAAAGTACTGAGAGGGTTCAGGGAGAGGCAAAACCAGATTGGACTCAGACAATCGCCCTGGAAGATAGCCCTTCTTATCCTTATGTGGTTCTCCGCAGCCATCCAGCCGCTCGCCCAGATAGCAAAGGATCGTACTCCATTGCCCCATACACTGCTCGAGGAAGTCTCCAACTGTACAGTCAATTTTGTACAGCTGGAGGACTCTCTTTAGCCATGTATGGGGCACCGAGTCGAATGCCTTTCTGTAGTCTATCCAGGCGGCGGAGAAATTCCGACGGTTGCGTTTCACCACTTTGCCAATGACCGCGTCAATGAGGAGTGGTTCCTTGGTTCCACGACCACCGCCCCGGCAGCCATTTTGAGCGCGTGACATCAATCACCTGATTTAGCTCCAGGTGACGAGTGATTCTCGCGCTCAAAATGGATGTGAGTGTCTTATATATGGTGGGTAGACACGTGATGGGGCGGTATTTGCTCGGGTCTGTGGTATCCTGATCTTTAGGAACCAAATGAGTGATCCCAGTAGTGAAGAGGCTCGGGATCGACTTCTGATCGAGAGCCTCTTGAAACTGTCGGGCGAGCACAGCGTGACACACTACGAACCCCTTCAGCCAGTAGTGATGCAACCCGTCGAGTCCCGGACTTTTTCAGTTCGGGGCCCTACGGACCGCCTCAGCCACGTCTTCAGGCGTTATGGTGACGGGGTCCATAGGCGTAACACTTGCACTCTGGCTCACCACAACTTCCATCCAAGGGCCCTCGCTTTGGTTTACGGGCTCTGACCACAGGCCACGCCAAAATGCGACAGTGTCGGCCTGATCCGGTCCTGGGCCCGCTCCACATACCTCTGGTGGCTTCAATGATTTATAGAGCCTCTTCTGATCACTCTGGAAGAGACGATTCTGGTTGAACCGCCTTGACCTTTCGCTAAATCGTCGAATCCGCTTCCCCCAAGCAGCGATTTTTTGCTTCAGGTCATCTATGCGCTCCGTTAGTTTTTGCGTGATATCCGGTTGGAACAAACTGATATTTGTCCCAGCAAACGCCATCCTAACGGTGCGCATAATCCTCGGTCTATTATTACCCGACCTGAAGCTTGTCAGTCTGCCGATAAGGGCCCTTGCCTTTGCGATACGGTCCTCAATTCTTTTTCTCCAGGCTGGGATGGCGCTACTTTTTTGAGTAGCACGTCCAGCCACGAGAAGTTTGGCGCCAATAATACTGCATACTGCCAGTGCGGCGCCAAAAAAGAATTGAATTCATCTCGCAAAGGTCCCGGCTGGCTTCCAAATAGGTCACCAGCATTAGGTTAAGAGCCCGCACGACAGCCCGATTTCGCTTGCTAAGGGGTATGCGGGGAAGTCGCGGTCGATTTTCGAGAGGCATGCTGCGCATTTCCAGCATCGACTCTTCCAATATGCTCCTCATTTTCTCTAGTTCGTGGAAGACTATTCCATCATCGTCTGAATTAGCCACAAATGGAATGTTGACGGCAGCATCCACATATGCAGTTTGTTGCGCATCTAGTGGCGCCGCATTCCCAGCCGTAGCATTTCCATTCGATGAAGGAATAGCCTCACGTCGTAGTCGCTCGATTTCGGCGTCACCAAATATGTTGGAGCGCAGGATGTACCGAACTGCCAGGTTTAGTAGTGTAGTAGTGTTGTAGTGGTAGTCTGCCAGGTTTTGCTCAGTGACGGATGGAGATGGCTCCAGCTCTGCAAAAAAGCGATGCATCCGAGCCCGATACGCCAAACATCCAGTTTCTTCCCCTTTTGCCCTAAAATACGCCCGTAGTGCGTTTTCATTCATTGATTTAGACCAACGCATGCGACGTGCTCCACCAGCGGCGGGTGCCGCTTGCTGGGTCCGAGAAGACCCAGCCGACACCAAGCCTTCTGGTGGGGATGATGGATGCGGGGGGCTGCTAGGTGGTCTTGCAACACCCCGCGCTCGGCTGGCGGCCCGCATGCTGTCGCGTCCAGCGCCAGCTCCAGACGCGCCTTGGCGACCTCCAGGCAGCGGCCCTTTGCGCACTATGTTTTTTTCCATCATCCATAATATGGGCGTCCATTAACGGGAGACGCCCAGGCCCGGCACCGTATCGTGGACGGCCATAAGCACAAACGGGCCTTTGCACCCTGAATTCTGCCGAGGCACGGCGCTCACACCTCTCGCAAGGCGCTGACTGACTGCGTCGACGTAGCAGTTTTGTCACTTAACTGTTACGTCAGCGGGCGATGGGGTCGTCTATTCCCTACGCCATATTTATATTATTATTATTATTTGGAGTATCTATATAGTTTTCTCATCTGGTTGGGTTCTATAAATATATAATTATAAATGAAAATGAAAAGATAAATATACATAAATATCAATAACATAAAATAAATATAAAAGTACATAAATAAATAAAAGCCCAACCAGATGGAGGCCCTCGGCAGGGGGAGACCAAACGGCCGAGGGCCTCCATCTGGTTATTATTATTATTATTATTGTGTTTTAAGTATGACATTACTAGTGTGGGTCTAATGCCTGTCATTAGACCCACACTAGCAATGTCAACAAACAAATTTGCAGTCTCTCTGGTGGTCATTAGATACTGTAACCCAACACCACTAAATAGTATAATCACTACAATTTAGTGAACACCTGCAACTAACTTTAAACAGAGGGCTACATATGCGTTGTCAGCTCTGAGGAATAAGATGGAATGTCTCACAGTCTTTAGTTATCCTGGCTCTTTATACCCTTCGGATCAGAACACAGGAGTACCCGCCCTGCAGTTTAGCAGCAAAAATATTGTACCCACTCAGGCACACTTGTAAGCAGAAAAAGGGTCATCCTACCACCTAGAATTTTTTTACCTAGTTGTATAAAATATGTAAGCAGATGTATACATGGTAGATATACTTCCAGTAAGTGTCTTTTGGGAGAAAGCATATTGCGTTATTTAAACGGGATTGGCACAGCGGACTTAATTTCTTCCCGAAAATAAGAGCAAGCCTGGTAAGATGTGTTTAGAATAATATATTACTATTTCAAAAAATAATTGTAAATTGTTATTTTCATTTAAATTCGTGCACAAATTCCTCGATTTAGCTTTATCAGGTTGTTGGGACACGTACCCAAAGATAAATTTAAAGTCGTTAAATGTATTAACACACGGTAAATCCAATCTACGAAGAAAGTTGGGCGGGATATAAATTCATATGCTAATATGGCAATGCATATTATCATAGGTATTTAGAAAATGTTGTCTTAATGTGAGTGGATTATTTTATCGTAATATTACTCATTATACTATTTAAAACCATTATCATAATATGCTTGAATCATGAATGAAGGTTTTCGACGTGGTAGAGCGATGCTGGAG